CCTCAGAAACCCAAGGAGGGGTCGCTATGAGTCGGGTCCGACTCAACGGCACATAACAACAACAACAACAACATACCATCTTACCAAGTCACTAACCCTCCTTTCTCCCAGTTGCCTAATTCCCCTTTTGTGCATGGTAAAGTCCAGAATAAGAAAATGCATGTTAGCACAGGCTTCATAAATGCTGAATAAAATGGGAGGGCTTGCTTCTATAGAGGATCCATGTGTCATTTTATTTTCTAAATTGACTGTTTATATGCAATACATAGTTATGATTTGTGCCAGCACATTGCCCTTTTTATACTAACTGTACCCAGATTTCCCTTGGGGACTTGTCAATCATTGTACAGCCTTTCCTTGTCCAAAGAGCTAGCACATAATCTAGACTAGACCAGTCAGGCATATTTTCCCAGGAATTTGGAGGAGAGTGAAAGAAAATTAGAAATGTCCAGATTTCATGTGTCTCACAGACAAGTTCACCAGACCTGCCGTGGTTTCCAAAAACAAATCCTTCAGCTGATCTCAGTTCTCTGAGATACCCCATATTTCCACAAGTTGTTTTTCTACTTAAGTTTGCTTCCATTGTTTGCAAGAGGAGGATGGTGACTGATAAAACTCTTTACAGGGGTAAAAGGAAAGACAAACCCATTCATTCTACCTTTATAATATGTTTAATAGACAGGTGGGAAATACGAAAATGAAATCAGCCCCTTGGCATTTTGTAAACTAAGACAGTAGTAATTTCTTGTTCAGCTGATCAAAGGCAGGAGTAAGTTGGCAAGTTCTCCAGAATCCTGGCTACATTTTTCTTTTGGAAAATGTAAATAGCTTGAGGATCTTGGGTTTTTCAGGAACTAGAGAAAATTCATAACACTGTAAATGTGTTTTATGAGGTACTTTCCCTGTGACGAGTCCTTTCTCTAGAAAAGTCTGGGGAAGGCAAGAGCTAAGGTAGCAACCTGACTTCTGTGAGCCCCTCCACCACAGGTGAAAAGGAAACACAGCTGTCGGGCCTGAAGATGCCTTTCACCTCCTAGCTACTCAGTCAAAGGCCACTGCAGCCTAGGAACTAAAAAAAAAAAAAGAAACACAACAAACCAGTCATCATCTAGTCAATTCCAACTCATGGCAACCCCTTGCACGTCAGAGTAGAACTGTGACCCACAGAGTTTCAAGGGCTGACTGTTTACAAGTAGATACTCAGGCCTTTTCTCTGACGCACCTCTGGGTGGCTTGAGCCTCCATGTCAACTGATGACCACTGACAGTTCCCAAGCTTTACAGCTAGGTGACCAATTTATAGTCCTCCACTACATGCACCTTCCTTCTTGTGAACATTTATTCCAGCCATTCCTCCTTCCCAAAGTGCCCTTTCTCCCTTTGCTGATTGTAAATTTCTATTCAATCTGATTACATTTCTCTGCATCCCTAACAGCACATCACATTTATGTCCCTACAAATAGAGAGAAATTTCAGCAGCTACTTATTTGTGGATCTGAATAATCATTTCAACAACTTTGAGGACAAAACAGGAGAAGAGGAGACGTTCAGTCATTTCAACTTATAAATGTTTCACCTGTTTGCAAAACAAGTATTTTTTTCTAATACCTACTAGGTATAATATAGCACCAGGAATGAGGAGGAATATAAAGATGGATCTGACACAAGATTTACTTCCAAGTAGCTTAAAGCTTAGTCTGGGAAACAAGGTCAGTACCCAAATCACCATCATTTATACAAGCTACTGTTGTTAGCTGCCATCAAGTTGACTCTAGTGACAACCGCATGTGTGTAGAGTAAAATTGTGTTTCATAGTGTTTTTAAGGTTGAGAACTTTCAGAAGCAGACCACCAGGCCTGTCTTCCAAGGCTCTCTGGGTGGGTTTCAACTGAGAACCCTCAGCTAATAGTCAAGTGCTAATACCTCTACTATGGGTTATGCTAAAGGAGGGCAGGATCACTTAGTACTATGGGGGATTAGAGCAGAACTTGCAGGAAATGGCAGTTGAGTTGAGCAGGAAGGAGGAGACACTATTTCTTTTATAAGCACTAACAAAGGCAAGAGGAGCCCTGGTGGACCAATGGTTAAGCACTTGGCAGCTAACCTAAAGGCTGATGGTTAGCTGCCAAGTGGGAATACTCAGGAAGTTAATGGATGACACAAGACAAAGTGATGCTTTTGAAGTGCATGTGGTGGAGATAATGACACAAAAGTGAACCTAATACTGTTACAAGTTATGGGGATTAAACGTATTGAGGAATTCTGGGATCATCACACACTACCGTCACTATATAAGGTAGCGTATTAAGTAACCAAGAGATATGGGAACATTTCAGAGGATAATTATATCTGAGAGAAATCCACATTGTTATAACTTTTGTGATATGTCAATTTATAACTATTAAACAAGAACTGACAGGAAGAGGTCAAATAATCACATTATATATTCTTCAATGAGTTATAAAATAAGGCTTGGATTTCACCCCATCTTCTACATCTACATGTCTGTGTAATAAATGATCTTCATGTGAAAATCTACCAGTATAAAATCCTGAAGGATTCTTCTGGATTAACCAAAAAAGTTAATTTTTTGGTAAAATATTGGCATGTTTTTATGATACTATAATATGTAAACTGGCTATATGGATAGGATTTTTATGTATATCACAAACACAGATAACTCAGCTAGGATTCTCAGACGATATTATCAACTGATTGTAGACTGGGGAATTCTTCAACAGAAATTTTCTCACAACTGCGATGAAAGAAACAACCCACCTATTTCAGAAACTCCTAACACTGAGATTTCTTAGGGAAATAAAAACCCTGATCCTTTTACATCTAGAGTTCTTAGGTCACCTCCTCTGGCTCGGGCACCATGTTCCAGGGTTCATAAACCTGCCCAGATCACTTATACTCCTGAGAGTAAAAACAGGAAGGATTATTTGTGAAGGGTTTCTCTGTTATTTGTGGAGGGAGTCTCTTACTGCCATCAAAAAACTATGTGTGAGGGTATCAAGTGGGTAAGAAATAACCAGGTAATATCAAGAACCATCCAAGAAAAAGGTATGTCTAATTTTAACATGATTGGTATATTTATGTATTTAAGCACTCTGCTATTAACCTAAAGGATGGCTGCTCAAATCCAACCAGGGCCACCTTGGAAGAAAGGTCTGGTGACCTACTTCCATTGCAAACCCTATGGAACTCAGTTCTACTCTGACGTATATGGGGTCGTCAGAAGCCAGAATCAACTCAACAACAACCGGTTTTTTGTGTGTGTGTTTGTTTTGTGAGAAACTTTTGGATGGTAACACAATGCTTTACTTTTATCTACAATTGCATGTTGTAGGTTAAAGCTCAGTTTATCAATCAACTGGGCATGGCAACTTCTTGTTTCCTATACGTCTGGTTAGTGGAATTATCTTTAGCAGCAGATTATTAACAGTATTAATAACAAAAGTTCTGACTGAAGATACCAAATGTTTGTGGTGCACATGGAGTGTTTTGTCAACAAAAAGTGAGGCTGTACCAGTGTGATGATGCCCTAAGAAATAGAAAGTACATCTATCAGTTGACTTCTTGATTAACAGGAAGTGAAGAAGGCAGACTCTAAAGACATTTCCACAAATTCTGAACAGCTTTCTCTGCCCTCGGGATTGTGCCTCTACACAGGCTGTCATCCCAGGGAACAGATCCAGGCCCTGCCTGTGAGCTTCCTGCAGAGAAGCTGCAGTGAACTCACACATGGAGCCATCCTCAGAAACACCACCCTCACCTAGTGTCACATCTCTGTTATATCTGCAGGGTATTTCAACACAGAGACAATGGCTAGATACCGAAAAAGTTTGCTTATTCAAAAGCTGAACTACTCCATTTTCCCTCTTTCTCAAGTGAATTTAAAAATTTCCATTACTTTACACAATTGCAGGGAAATGTGTTTGAAAGGTTATTGGAAGTGACAGATGGGTCTAGTTTGAAAGAAAATTAAGCCTGTGTTACTACTGAAATAAAGTAGCGATCAAAAATTAAACTGGACATTATAGTCCTAAACTGTTTTCCTATCTTTTTCAATGAAGTACAAAGAGTAGGAAGTTGAGGCAAAGCTGCCACTTCTTCTCTGTTCTTTACTTTGGTCAATTTGTACTGTACCTACAATAAACTCAATTCACTGCTGTCAAGTCGATCCTGACTCATAGCGACCCCTCCCTTTGGTTTCTGAGGCAGTATCTCTGTGGAAGCAGATTGCCACATCTTCCTTCTGAGGAGTGGCTGGTGGGTTTGAACTGCCAGCCTTCTGGTTAGCAGTCAAATGCATTATGCACTACACCACAAGAGTTCCTACAATGGTATTCTTAAAATAATGTGTTCTCCGAAATTTTAAACTGTGGTATTACACTTCAGGCATACTTGCTTTATTGTGCTTCACTTTCTTACACTTCACAGATAACGAGTTTTTCACAAATTGAAGGTATGTGGCAACCCTGCATTGAGCATTGGTGCCATTTTTCTAATAAATAGTATGTGCTCACTTCATGTGTGTGTCAGAGTTTTACAATTATCACAATATTTCAAAATTTTTCATAATGCTATTTCACACTTAGTAGACTACAGTATAATGTAAATATAACTTTTCTATGCACTGGGAAGTCAAAAAATTCATGTGACTCACTGCACTGCAATATTCGTTTTATTACAGAGGTCTGGGACTGAACCCACAGTATCTCTGAGGTATGATTATATACATTTAAAGATGAACATCCAAATATATCTTACATTACTATCAAAGAATACAACTCTTATTTTTTTATATAAGTGATTTTAAATATCTGGGGGGAAAATATTTATAAACAACTTATGGTTCATCAAAAGACCCACTTAGAATGAGATTTCAAAATATATACATTTCCAAAACCCACTATGAACTCTAGATAATTTTAGAGATCATTTGTACTGTGGACAACTGCTTCGCCAAGGTTTTCAATGAAGAGCCACACCTACCTTATTGTGCTCATACTTGTAGGGGATTTTGAGCGTGTCCATAGCTCTGATCATGGCCTGCATGGCTGTGAAGATGTTCTGATACACCAGCTTGGTGAAGCCCCTTTTGTCTTCATCAGAGTATCCTGACCCATGGATGATTCTCATCTGCTTGATAAATGTGCTCTTGCCACTCTCTCCTGTCCCTGAAAGATGGACAACAATAGCTCATCAGACCATAACACCTTCTCACAGTCTCCCAGAGAACTACAAGTGTGGCCTGGCCCAGCCCTCCCTGAACAGCCTGCTGTTGAGAGGCTCGTTAGTTACAGTACAGTAGCAGCACTGGAAGTGGAAACACTACCGAAAGAGAAAACTTATAGAATTATAAGGATGTGGTTTCCTTCTCATTTCAAAAGCCAGATTAGCTTAAAAAAAAACTGTCACCCCTTTGGAAGTCACTCAGCATGGAACTTTGATAGTGATTTGCAATCATATATCTTATAAGAAACATAATGAAAACAGCATCTTTTGAACATAATAAAACTTGATAAAGTTCTCTTTCCTAGAGAATATTGGAAACATTTCCAGAAAGCTGAGTTATTTAGCTAGGATTTAGATCTACAAATGACATTTCATTTACACAAATGCTGGTCATAAAGAGATAAAAGAAAAAGCGTTAAGAACTCTTTTAAAAAGATATTTTCTTTTATGGGTGTGAAGAGAGCATAGTATCCTGATCAGAACAGAATCGGGATCACTTTTCTAGACAGAAAGCATCAACTGTACTTATTTGCAGGGAGATTTGGTTGGCTGAGTTATTCCAAACCATCACCTAATTCAGGAAAGTCATAGTGCCCAATCATGACTAATAACATGATACAAAAAATATATTTTTATTGGATCTTTTCTTCTTGTTATCTCATTTTTCACCTGTTAAATATTCCTTTTCTTTTACCATATACCTGAAAACAGTCCCTACCAGGCAGCTACAAATGTCCATGGAAGAAGGAAAAATGAGACGATTTCAACTGCATGACAACATATTTTTTTACAGAGAATCTAACACTTTTAGTTTTAGACTCTAAAACTCAAAATGCAAAAACTTCATTTTTCTAAATGTAATTTTTTTTATATGTCACTTCATTTCTGAATGATACTTCTTGCTCATTTTAAAATTTTCTCGAGACTTCCAAGACAGCAAATGCCTCTGTTTTCTCTCATCAATGTGGATAAATAAAAGTACTTCTTTGGATATTAAATATAACAGAATGAAACAGTGAAGATCCTTATAATCAATTTTCTTATCACTGTTTCCTCTCCACAAGCAAAGAGAAAGAAAAAAAGGGGGGAGGGAGAAAGAACTAAGAATGCAACTGCCCTAATTTAATTTGTTTTCAAGTGGATTGGATCTCATTACTATCTTTATAAACAATCACCAAAAATTCAAATAAGTTTTGCAGTTTTCATAGAAGCACTCTTAAATGACTACAGATGTCTTGGTAAACACAGAACCCTCACAGTCACAAAGAAAGATAATTTCAAACCTCATAACCCTGTAGTAGCCAATTCTTTTAATTTTTTTCTATTGCTCTAATAAAGTGGTCAAGAATTCCTTGGAATATAAAGTAACACTACAAAGAGTTTAAAATGAATACTTTCAAATCCTAACCATGAATACTGTAGAAACTTACAAAAACACCAGAATCCAAACTCACTGCCACTGAGTCAATTCTGACTCACAGCAACACTTTTGGACAGAGTAAAACTGTCCCACACAGTGTTTCCAAGGCTGTAAATCTTTATGGAAGAATGCCGCCTCATCTTTCTTCCATTAAGTTGCTGGTAGGTTCGAACTGCTGACCTTTTAGTTAGCAGCTGAGTGCTTCAATCACTATGCCACTAGAGCTACTTATATATAAAATAAAACGAATATTTCATAATCTAATCCTAACCATGAATACTGGAGAAACACAAAGAGTACCTAAATGTAGCATCCCTAGTGATAATGTTGTTGTTGTTAAAGCCATGAAATTGTCTCTTGTTAATCAGTCAACAATTTATACAATGAAACCAGTATTAACTCTCCTAAGCAATTTCAAGGGAGCTCTGGTAACATAGTACCTAAGGCACTTGACTGCTAACCAGAAGGCTGACGGTTCAAACTCACCAGCCACTCCTCGGAAGGAAGGTTGGGCAGTCTACTTCTATAGTGATACCGCCTTGGAAACCCAAGGAGGGGTCACTATGAGTCAGGTCCGACTCAATGGCACATAACAACAATAAGCAATTATAATTATGTAAGAAAAAACCATTCAGATTGTTTCTTTTTTATTCCTATCTATAGCTGACAGTTTGCTAACTTCAACTGTAGACATATCATCTAATGGTCATCTCTGCCAGTTCTTTCTATAACCAAAACAGACGAGATCTTAATATGTGAGGTCAATGGTAAGAGGAGAAGAGGAACAAGAACCAGGCAGTACGGTCCTCTTTCTCCTGGTCATCTGAGAAGATTCTATATAGTCATGCTCAAAAGAGAAAGGAAAAGGAAGTGACAGGTGAAGTATAAACTACATTGGCTTGTGTTTCATTTAAGTCCTACTAGACAAGAGCAGGGAGCTCTGGTAGCATAGTGCCTACAACACTTGACTGCTAACCAGAGGGCTGGTGGTTCAAACCCACCAGACACTCCTCAGAAGGAAGGTTTGGCAATCTACCTCCATAGTGATCTGCCCCCAAAACCCAAGAAGGGGTCGTTATGAGTTGGGTCTGACTTGATGGCACATAACAACAACAACAGACAAGAGCAGTCAAGTCCTTGCATTGGATCTAGTCAACAAGCCCTCACTGGCATCTTCCACATGCTGGACACCTCGTCAAGGCAGACTCCAAGTAGGAGCAGAACAAGTGACTGAGGGATGAATGGGATAAGCTAAGAGGAAACAAAAAAGAATGCAAAAGTCAACTCCAAAGTAAGTTATTTTCCTGTTGCCTCACCCCATGCAGCGACCCTCTCTCTACCTTCCCCATCTTACCCAAGGAGGCTGGCCTGTAACAACTTCATTACAAGCCCACTTGTCTTCTGTGCTCTGCCTGGGTTTGTCCAGCAGAAGACACCAGGAGCTGACCAGAGAGCAGAAGAATAAGGAACAAGTGTTGAACCCCCAGTTCCCTCTCTGCAGGGGCACCACAGGCCTCCTCCATACAGGACTCACTTCCTCGCCCTTCCCAGTTGTAGCTGGCCCCTGGTTACTATACTGGCCCTTACTGGTTATCTACACCTAACTCCCACCTTTGTAAACAGTCCCTTTATTAAACTCTCCTTAGTCACCTAGTTCTAATGTGTCATATGCTTCCTGCTGAGACCTTGATGGGTACAAAAACCAAAAGGAGATATTTAATAAGCTGGAGGACACAAAGGGAAAGGGACTGGCCAGTGCCTTCTCTTCTTCCTCTGCTCTTTTCTCTATTATTTATAAGATATTTTCTACTTTATAAAGTATTTTCTATTCAGTTAACTCTCCTAACACTCTTCTGGAGGCTAATCATGATAAAGAAACAGGTGTCGTCCAGGTGAGACAGCACCCACAACAGAATCCAGATCTCCTGACTCTGCCAAAGTCCTCACAATACTGTACTTCTCCTCTAAAGCACATGTGCAGATGTATACATGTACACACACATACACACATACACCCCTGAAGAGCAATCTCTAATGCAGATATGGGAAACAGTGACCTGTACTTCCTAAATATCCCCTCTCTAGTAAAGAAAACAGAAATTTGCAATTAATCTTCTATGACTTGAAAAGATGTCTAGAGCACAATGTTATTTTATCTTCTCAAAAATCTGTGAGAGGGAGGATCCAAGATGGCAGACTGGACAGATCTACTGTCCAGACTCTCTACAGCAAAGACCCAAGAAACTAAGTGAAATGGATACAGATGACATCCTGGAACACAGAGCTTCAAAGGAAAGGATAAACAAGTAGATCAAATACCAATTAGAGCAGAGACTGAACAGAAACAGCAAAAAAGGAAGCACATGGACTGGCAAATGGCCAACAGGCCAACTATAGCATGGCTATGCTGAATTATTGCAAGCTGCATTCCGATTATGGCAAGAACCAGATAACTGGTTCCATTTACACAAGACTCTACAGGTGCCCACGTTAGTGACTGGTGATCAGAGAGGTGTAATCTCCCCTCATTACCCCACACAACATCCTAATGATCAGAGGTGAGCTTCCCTCCCATCCAGCAGATAGATGGTCAATGCCTGCCCTACTGTCAGTACACTGCTGCTTTATTTTTCCCTTTTCTATGATCTTCTTTTTAGTTCTGCCCTCTCTTCCTCCCTTTTTATTTCTTTTCTTTTTCACCTTCCTTTCCACCCACCCCCTTTTTTTTCCATCTCAGAGCAGATGTCCCATCCCCTGGCACCTCCACATTCGGCAGCATCCGCCCCGTCCCTCCGTGTTGAGTGGTACGCACTCTTGTGGAGTGAGCACACCCACTGCCACTGCACCCATGTTTGGCAGCAACATTGCACCAGTACTGTGCTATTTCATTTTTCTTCCTAGTTCTTCCCTCTTCTCCCCATCCTTTATCTTCTTTTTTCCTTCCTCCTCACCTCTTTTTTTTTTTATTAGTCCAGGGAGAGGGTAACCACCCCCTGCCACCTCCAAGGTCAGCACTGCCTACCCCCGCCCTTCTGCAGTCAACAGTGCACACTCCCACAGTGTGAGCTCAGCATTCTCGCTGCAGCCATGGTTTAGCCACTAACGCATAAGTCAATACTGTGCCACTTCTTTTTTTCTTTTTACTTTCTTTTTAGTTCTTCCCTCTTCCCCTTTCTTGTTTTTTTCCTTTTTCCTTCTTCTTTCCCACGCCCTTGTTTTTTTTCCTCTATTTCCCTCTTCCCCTCCCCTCCTTTTTTGATCTCCTCTACCTTCATGTTATCAACATGTGTCCTGGAATTCCATGTTTAACAGTGTGCCATCTTGTGGAGCAAGTACTACATTTCTGTCATAGCTGCGTTAAGCAGCTAGTGCCTGCACCAGTATTATGCCAGTGTTTTCTTTCTTCTTTTCTCCTTTTTTTCCTTCTTCTTAGGGCTTCCCTATCTCCCATCCCCTGCCTTTTATTCTTTCTTCATTTATTTCTTCCTCTGCCCCCCCCCATTTTCTTTTTAACCAGCAATC